TTTCTAATCTTTAAATGTACATATGTGCGTATGACTTTGTCACTAACTCTGTCTTTTTCGTATCGCAGAGGCTCAGTATAATTTTAATTCTATGAGGAAAAAGTGTATGCAGATTATCTTAACCTTTTCGTGCAATTATTCCTTATCATATGCATATTCTTATATATATACATATATATATAGTGCAAAAACATACAACATAGTACGCACATTCTATTCACATTACAAAATAACACAGTGAACCTTATTCAATCTTCATCTATCTAGTATACTCATCTCCATTTTTCACATAGGCATTCACCACACTCAATCTCCAATACCAAAGCATCGAAGAGGAAGAAGCAAAAAGTATTGCTGATGCTTTACGAAAAAATACAGTGAACCTCATTCAATCTGCTTGTATATATTATTATACCCATTTCCACTTTTCACACAGACAATCACCACACTGGATCTCGGGAGTAATGATATCAGAGATGAAGGAGTACAACATATCGCTGATGTTTTACGAAATGACACAGTGAGCCGCATATAATCTTCATCTATCTATTATTCTCATCTCCATTTCTCACATAGACAATCACCGAACTATACCTCGGGAACAATGAAATCAGAGACGAAGGAGCACAACATATCGCTAATGCTTTACGAACTAATACAGTGAACCTCATTCAATCTGGAGCTATCTATTATACCGATCTCCACTTTTCACATAGACACTCACCAAACTTTATCTCGAACACAATGAAATCGGAGACGAAGGAGCACAACATATCTCTGATGCTTTACGAAATAACACAGTGAACCTCATTCAATTTGCATCTATCTATTATATCGATCACCATTTTTCACACAGACACTTACCGAACTACATCTCCAAAGTAATCTGTTCGGAGACGAAGGAGCACAAGATATCGCTGATGCTTTACGAACTAACACAGTGAACCTCATTCAATCTGAAGCTACCTATTATACCGATCTCCACTTTTTACATAGACACTCACCAAACTTTATCTCGAATACAATGATATCGGAGACAAAATGAAACGTTGTTTGGAGGAAGCGATTGAGGCCAATAAGCGACGACGAAAGAATGAAGATTGATTATAATTATAATGTTGGTCTGATGAAGAGGGCAATAGACTTCATGGATATTTGATTAGTCGCTTTGATTATTCTTTTTCTTAAAACCATTGTAGACGAAAGGTGTGGGTGCAGGGTGTGAGTGGGTGTCGGTGTGGGTGTGAATGTAGTTCTTCTTCTCATCCACATCCACACCCACACCCCATTATTACTAATCTCCTAAAAACTGATCTTTTTTTAATGTAATATGTTGGGGCATATTTCATCATCATTGTTTATTTTGCCGCATAGCACTTCAACAAGCAAATACTTCATCTATATTTCAATTAGATCTTAGTTATATATCACCTCTGATCGTTCCTTGCAGCTGTCTCTCACGGTCTGTGGGGATAAAAATATTTGTTTCATCATATAATTAACTATGTGAAACCATTTTTACATTCTGATATTAACAAAAAGCTTCTGGAAGATAAAATTCGTTAAAGATCTTTGTTGTGCAAAAAAGTTTCTAAAAAATGCACTGTGATGAATAATGACCTATAACTTATTAAAGAAGAAGAATATTCTACCTTTCGACTACTTTGCAGTAAAGATTTTCCACATCTGATACTAAATGTAACTTTGAACGGAACGATAGCCTGACATATTCATGTCTTCTTTTCTGTTGTTCGTGTTTTTTTCTACTTCCAATAAGATATATCTAGGAATAAATAGTAAACTTATTCATTGTTTGTAAGTTTCAACTATAAACTGAATTGTCTGAGATTAAATCTTTCTAATTATGTTTTGTTTTTCTCGTCCATCTATGATGTATTTATTTTTATTTTCCTCGGATTACTCTATTGCTTCTCAACTCGTACTTAAATCTTAAGTAGAACAAATAAAAAATTAATACTTTGAATATAGAGTGAATTGATATGTCCATGACATTAAATAATAGAATTTTGAATTCATTATTGTAGTGCAATTTTAAAATTTAAAAGACCGATCACCATTCAATTTCCACATTCAAACAATATCCATTATGATGTGTACGTTTTAAAAACTATGACTAAAGATATGTCATAAAATCTAAATCTGTTTACAATTCTTAATATAATACAATCTAAAATAATTTCGTTTTATCTTTGATTGAACTGTTTGAAATATAATTTCAGCAGTCAGAAAACCAACTCCTTTTCTACTATCGTGACTCTGTTAGAAAAGTTATGATGTGTATTATGAATTCTTTTAACTTTTAAATATGATCCTATATCAAATTCTCCATGCGTAAATAGCCTTCTGTTAACTTGAGTTTTATTCAAAAGCATGCTAGAATTTTTTTTTTTTAAATGAAATGTTGAAGCTTACATCCACTAAACACAAAAATCTCGATTTCGATATATTTTCAAGTTCAACAAGTTTTGTGTAGAAATGTTTTTCTCCAGATTTACATGACAATCTGTTAAAATCATGGATGTCTGTCAGCTTTGTACCTTTGTTCAAAAAACCAATCTTAATACTTTTGGATTAGCATCATTTTAATATTTATCATGACCAAGTTAACGTTTATACCTGTAATGATTTCTGGTTGTTCGTTTCATTTATTACAGTATTTATGATTATATTTAGATCCAATGCACCGTAAATCATCATTTGAAGTGACGAAGGATTGCAAGGTAAAGCGATGAACAGCATCATCGATCGTTTTATTAGTCAGGTGACAAAGATCCAACAATAATTCAAATTACGATGAAGCTAGATTACGCCAATCAAGAGAAACATACATATTTGTGACTTTTCCAGTATTGAAAGCCAAGGATCATTAAGAAGATCACTTGAGCACACTTGATGCGAGATTAGCGACAATGAGATGAATGCATTATAAGGTATTGTCATCGTAGAACAAGGACATTTGAGTGTATTCGAATATAAGACTTGTAAATCATTATAAACGATTAATGATGAATTTGATACAGTTATTATAACTATTTTAGTACTCAGCGAAGTGTAGAGAAGAATGATGAAAAATGAGCCTAATGATATAAAAAAAGCTTGTCAGCACAGCTCTATGGGGCTGAAATGTGGAATTCACATATGTCCTCGAACCGTATTACACTAATATAAAATATGTAACGTTAAAAAATATCTTTTAGATTAGTGTTTTTCAGAATAATCGATCAGGGTGTGGGTGTGAGTGTGGGAGGTGAAGCGTGGGTTTGGAGGTTAGTATTACTTTCAGCCATATCCCACACTAACCCACCACACCCACACCCATACCCCACACCTACACCCACCCACACCCCGATGAAGTCAAAGCATGCGATGTTCACTACGTGTGAAACAATCGAGCGGGAATTTTTTTTCTGTTCGATGCGTTCGCACATCGAACTTCTTAAAATAGCAAAAACCAGAAAATAGGACAAAAATATTCTGCTCCTCCTAAAACCAGTTGACTCGAATTTGCAGCGAATACATCTTAGCAATTGTCAGAAGTCTCATATCCAAAATATTTTAATCAGATTGGTACTGGCAATTAACCGTTGAATCTAGTGACGAAAGCGAATTGTTGACCGATGATCAGATGCCTGGTGATTGCTGTGTGACAACGCATAAGAGCAATAAGCTCTTTTCGTTCCACACTTTTTATTATTCTACATAAAACTGCCCCATCGTCAACTATCACAATCGGAAAATGTAAAATCTCTCGAAAACGAGATTTTAATAGAAAATTTTTTTCTCCGCTCACTAAAAATCTAACACATACAGTACGGACCACTAAGTCATGATTCAAACATAAAAACTTAATTCTACTTTTACAAATCAAAAAGCTTCCAAATACTAGCATTTTTTCTTATAGGTTTTGGTTTTCCTACAGATAGACTATGCATATAAGTAAAAAATAATCATTGTTCCGATCATTTGCCTAAGTTTACTACTCATTTTTTCCCTGGAGAAACATATCTTTCATTTTACTTTTCATTATTCTTCTGCGAAGATTCGCACATCGCTGGACGCATCTCGTTATCCTACGGCAAAACTTTTAACATTATTACAATTTTTCACAGCATTTTTCCGCTGGAAATTCCTGTAAATGTGAGGGGTTATAACATATTTCTTTATGTACTGGATCATTGTGACACTTTTCTAACTGATTTTTTAAGTTGAAAAGGATTATTTTTCTATTACACTATTTTGAATCCTTTCTCGTTCGCTTTAGTTATGTCTAACTTTCTGTTTGGATTTATTATATAGAAAAGAGCATTCTTGACCTGGACTCCATTTTTCTGCTTAAAACCATCATTTCTGTTACCGATCACAAGGTTGCCCAACCCTCCCCTCGTGAGTACCAAAGTAAGGGAAAATATTCGTTTGTCAAGCTGAAACTTATAGGAGTGACTATTGACTATGAGCTCTACAATTGCTGAAAGTTTCATGGGAAATTGCTCGTGTTTTCTATAGGGACCGATAACAACGCAAAACGTTCCTCGTCCTTTAACACGTAAATCTTTTCATATTTAGTGCTTCACATTTTTTCTTCTTAAAACGTTGATAACTAATTATAAGGATAAGTAATCGATTGTTATCTTGTTTTACTAAAAGTATTCCTATATGAACAAGAAAATAAACAATTATATCAATGTGTTCTTCCTTTACTAATTCGATAAAAGACAACCTAATTTTTCTTGTTTTTGTATTTAAACGAATAAATGTATTTACAATGTTTGACTTTTGAAAAAGAAAAGTTCACGAAGAGAAATAGTTGACACTTAAATAAATTAGTCACTTTGTTGCTCGGACTCTCTTCCATGCTTGACATAATAAGCTAGTAGAAAAAAAGTTTCGAATAGCATCTATTGATTCATAGGATGGCTTGGATGTTAGTATTCTCCCCACTCTAGAACAATTGTCTCTTGCTTGTTGTTGGTTTTGAGAGATTATTTTGAACAATATATCCTGTTAATAGCGAGTTCGATTAGACAAGGAAGATCAGTTTGACAAAGAAATTGTTTGGCATAATCCATATGAATACCGTATAAAATTAGTACAGCTAAATGAGCAAAGTCAATATTAGTTTTATTTTCCGTCTTTTTTTCTTGTTGTTCAAGTTGATTAATTATCTCAAGTGTTTGAAGTCGAGGTAGAGCTCGAGCAACACGTTCAAAGAAAACACTTTTGAAAGGTTTGACATCATCAAAAAGTAATAAAGTAGTAACATTTGAGAGTGTATTATTAACATCAAAGAGCAGAAATCGATTTGAGATAAAATCAAGACGAGTACCAATAAATGGAAGTGAATAGATTTGACATTGTCCATAGTTATTCTTGAAATGATCAAGTACACAATCAAACGGTTGTTCATGTTTTAGAAAACTTTGACGAATTTGGTCAATTGTTATATGGGTAGCATTTTTTAATATTGAATGAATATGAAAATTAAATTGACGTAAACGAGGCATATATGAAACAATATTTGTTTCTAAGAAAAATCCATCAATAAAATGAATAGGTTTAGTACCTGTTTTGCCTATAGCTAATAATAATGTTAAATGTTCGACATTTGATAAACGTTGTAGAAGGAAAATACATGGTTCGTAGTTATTAAAATTACGATACATTGTCATTGTCATTTGTTTTAAATTAGGAAACGAAATCTAAATGAAGAAAATTCATTGAAATGTCAAAAAGAAAAAACTTACTAACCGATCTGATTTCAGAGATTAAATCGGCATCCTGTTCACCAACATATCCTATAGGCACTGTAAATGAATGGAGCTGTGAGCCCAATTTATTTAGTAAATGGATGCATTGATCAAAATCCCATAAAGATATGCGACGATGAGTTAGTCGACTTACTTGATCGAAGTACAATTCATCATTGTCCAGTCGTGCGGTTAAAATACAGTTCTCATCTAGTTCGAACGATTGAATAGAACGCATAAGTGATGAACGACACAAGATAGTTAGTTTTTCCCCAATATTGTAATTGGGCAGTAAAAAAAATTGACGTACGATTGTGAAGAAGGGTTTGCGCATATTAGGATACGGCATCTGGTGGTTTCCTAAAACAAATGTATACATGAGTGTCATAATATGAGATTTTTGTCAAGCTAGTTATTTCGGATAGTGATGATAGAATAAATTGACAAAGAGACTTTTCCAGAAATACTTATTGGGAGAAAAGCTTTGATATGTTAAAAAAAGAAATCAAACGATCTAAGAATTTTTTCACTTATTATTTTCAATTGTGCAGTGATTCTTTTAACAAAACTAGTCAATGAATTACTTTTGTCTAAAACATCAACAAGAAATTTCGAAATTGTCAAATGATAAAACTTTCTTCCTTTTCTCGACAGAAAATAAACTAATATGATATATAAACATAGTTTAAAAAAATTCGATCAATCATAGTTTACTTATTGTATATGGTATGCCTGTTTTACTGTGTTTAGTACCCAACATAATTGTCAAATGTGTCAGATTTGGAAGAGTTCCATTGCAGTTACTGTCAACCAAAGTTTTCATACATGATATTTGATAAAGATTGATTGTTAGTGACTTAATATCATGAATGGCACGAGGCATGACATCGGAATAAAATCGCTTCATAAGCAATTTAAGTTCTGGCACTCGAAAATAATCAAAAGTTAAATCGATTGAATGACATCTATAAAATGCGAGTTTTTCCAAACGATTATTACCAAAACCAATCATAGCACAAAGAAATAACACTTGAGGATTAACTTTCTTCATAATAGCTATTATTAACTCGTCAGTTAAATCGAGCAGTTCAATAACACCTTTCATGCACAAAAATCATTAAAATAATCATTTGTAAAGTATATACATACCCATTTATGATAAATAGTTTATTATTGATATATTGTGTTTGTGTATATTAAAGATGACATAGACATGCATATATTTATGAAAAGTTATGCTTGATGAACATTGTCCAAATGAGAACCAATCATTATTGATCAATTATGTTAACAAAGAAAATGTGCTCTATAGAAAGACATAAATGAACCAATTAGATGAAAGTATGATGATCGTCAAATGTAATCTATTGATTTATAATATGTTTAACTTTAGAATTGATATAATATAGCAGTGGACTAATGACTAGGAACCTTCAGGTCCTAGGTTCAACTTTTTCTTTTTCATCGAATCCGGCTACAGAGTTTTTTCTTTTGGACGGGTCTGGGTCTATGAATAGATTTAACTTTGAACCCGGTCTGTATTTAGCTTCGAATCTAAATAGTACTATGTGGTGGAAGACGACAAGAGATAACTTTATATTGACTCTTTTTCTCACAGTAACCAATATATCACTGAAATTTTGATCCTTTATTTGATCATGTACACAAAAAATGCTAAATATGAGTGAAAAATGCCTCGAGTTTGGATCCGATCGGGTTCGGATTCCAACAAGCGTGAACTCGCAGGTCCCTACTAATAACATAACTAAAAAAACCGTGTTTGATATAGCATCGTCCTATAGTCTTGGAAAAAATCGATCCGGGATAGTGTAAATTATGATAACCATTAGTGATTTCTTTATCCTACTGACAGTATAATTAGAGACTAGTCCATTCTTAGTTACGACATATTCAGATATGTTTTCCAGGAACTCTCACAATATTTTTGATTTCGCCATTCTTGAAAAGTTTCTATAAAACGCGATGATAAATGAAAACAAATCTTTTACAAAAAATACATATTTTATCATATATTTGAAGATATAAACACGGATATTAAGCTAGATGTTCTTAGGAATAGTTGAAACAATGTCGATGAAATGCATTATTTTGTTTTTGACTATTTCGTCGAAGTTATTGAGATACGATCTTGTGAAAAAAGAATAGTATACATCAATATGTTTCTTTTCTTATTAAACATTATTTGTATTAATTTTAAGAAAATTTCATTCATTACACTACTAACAGTCTTTTCTCAATGTTTCTATCAATATCTGTGTTTGATAGGATAGATTTATATTCTCATTGATCTTTAATGATTTTCACAATTATTATACACACGAATGAAAACAATAAAGATGTATTTAGATATTCTTTTGTCAATATATACTCAATTTAGTTCTAAAAGAAAATAATATAATCGAAGTACTATTTTCTCTTAGCTTTACAAAGAAATAGTTTTGCTAAATGAAACAAAGTAGTTCTAATCATTTGAAATATATTTTTTGTCGTCATCTTTGACGAATTCGGAATTTTTTAATTATATATCTGTTGTCCAACATGAATACATATGGATTTTTATTTATTCAAATTTTACTTTTACAAAAACAAATAGTTAATGCTATGAAATCACTTTAGTTACAAATAAAAGACTTTTCTACAATAAAGGTATACAAATAGAGGTGTTTGTTGAATATAATGGACACTATGTATTAACTAAACGATAAATTCATTCATTCTAATGAATTCGTTTTTCTATGTAGTCTACATATGAAGAAAATTCTATGGATTGATTATTTTCATAGATTATATGATTTCTATTGATATAATCTCAATTCAAATCAAGTTTATTTCTGCTATATGAAGCAGAGTTCGACTCGGGTCGGCAAAAAAATTTATCGAGCTCAGGTCGGATCTAGTCACGAAAAATTGACCGATCTCGAACTTTACATTAGGCAACCGGCACGTTTAGGTGAGGTAATGATTATTTTACATTAAAAATTGAGAAAACTTGTATAGATACACCGAAAAGATGCTTAATTTTCGAAACAACTTGTTTTAATTAGCCAAAAATTGTCTTTGATCTCGGGTTGGGTTGGACTGGGTCGGGTCCAGTTATGTTGAACTCAGATCGAATCGGGTCACAAAAAATTGACCCATTTTGGACTCTGATATGAAGATAATATATCATCTATATATATAATGTTCAGTGTCTGCGTGTTTCTCTGTGCCGGGTCAAAGGTCAAAGGTTAAAGGTCAAATCAGGCTATAATGAGAAGACCCAATGGTTATTATATGGAGACCCGTAGGTCCTCAAGGGCTATCCTATGGAGGTACCCATAGGTTCTCAAAGGCTATCGAATTTGAGTACCCATAGATCCTCAATGGCTTCCCTATGGGGTACCTATAAGTCCTCAAGAGCTATTATATGGGGGTACCCATAGGCTCTGAAGGGCTATCATATGGAGGTACCCATAGGCTCTCAGAATCTATTATATGGGATACTCATAGATTCTCAAGGGCTATTCTATGGGGTACCTATAAGTTCTCAAGGGCTATTATATGGGGGGTACCCATAGGTTCTGAAGGGAATATGGCATGAAGAAGGTAAGGCAATAAGGGGATAATGTTACAAGAGCTACTAGGGTATAAGGCTATAAGGTTGAAGTCTAATGGACTATAAAAATATATGCGATGTAAGAGTATAAGGTCGTAGAGCTACCTAGCCGTACACATAATGTCGAGTGTCTGTATGTCCGTTACCAGATGAAAAGTTAAACGTCCGACGTCATACGTTAAGGGGGAAAACAGCCGTGCAGTATGCACGGGCTCTCGCTAGTTGATTAAATTGATCGATAGTAATTGAAATACGATATGAATACTCTGCTCTTACGAGGGAATCACTCGAGGTGTCAAAAAGCTTCTTGGTCGGGAATATGATGGTTAGATAGGACATAGCTAGAAGTGATATACCCTAAGTTGGTTCGGGCACAAGTTGAGATCTGGCTGAGATATCGACTTTTTCCTAGAATTTGCCTATGAGACCCCATCTTCTCCATAAAATCAAAGTTTTGAGTTTTGACGTGAGACTTTACCCATATCAAGGCCTCAACCAGAGTAGTTCATCCACAAAGTTTCAGAATTTTTGGACTAACCATTCCTGAGATATGAATCTGTTAGCATAGGGTGTGGCTGTGGCTGTGACTAAGGGTTTTGGTATGGAAGTTGTGTGCAGATACATAATTGAACATCCACACCAACACCCACACCCACATCCACATCACACCCACCCATACACATACCCACACCTACATCTATACCCACACCCACATGTCTTGTTCTTGATAATTAAAGATAGTCAAGCAAAGTGTGACTTATATTCTCTACAGAAAAAAATAAATCTTAAAAAATCCCTATTTCAGAAAATTCATTTTGAGATTGGTTCTAGCAAAAATTAACGTCAAAATAAGTTTTCTGAAATAGGGATTATTTTAGGAATCGATTTAGGGGTTGAAATTTAGGACAAATGATAACCTACCCCGAGTCCGACTGGTACCAGTCCACCAGTCCTGGACTGGAACTGGCGCATCTCTAACGATTGTATGAAAGGCATATAGAGCATGTTGTAATATTTGAGATTCACGACTATAAAATGCAAAATGATTTCAGTTATTCCGGTGCAATTCAATCTAGTTCGCTTCTTGTGCATATCATGCATGAAGGTCTGAATCTCTCTAATGAATGATTATTTTTTTACTGTGTCGAATGTCACAAATAACCTACCCAGGACGATAAATCCGGAGGTATGAAACGACGTCGAAAACCACATTAAACGCCGATAAAACGCCCTATTTCTTGCACTACTATCACTAGGCTTCATCGTAGACCTTCAGCCCGTTTTACGAGACGTTTTCCCGCTAGCCAACGGC